AGTAGCATATGCTGACTTGAAGAAAATGTTGAAGGAACACTTCCAGCTGAAGTTATCCGTCATTGCTTGGAGGCACACATTCGAGCAGAGAGACCAGAGGACAGGTGAATCTGCTGCAGACATTATTGCGGCCTTAAAGCAAGCAGCCAAGCCTTGTGAGTTCAAGGATCTGGAAGAGAGGCTGCGAGATCGCTTTGTCTGCGGCTTAAGGAGCAGAGACTTACAAGAAAAGATTTTTGCAAAAGAAGATGACTCCTTCCAAGATGCATTGTGAGAAGTGGCAGCTGAGGAAGCAGCAGGTGGGGCTGTGAAGGCCTTGCGCCTCACCAGGAATCCTCCAGAAACAGCTACCATCCATCAAGAGGACGCGCAAGAAGGATCAGAAGTGTATCCTGAAGAGGAGGTTGACAGACTTCACCAACCAGTTGAGAGGAGGCAGAAGGGACATTGTTGGCACATGATGAAGCACCTCTTCAATGCTTTGGGTGTGGAGGACGCCACAAGCCAGCTGACTGCAGGTTTCGCTCCGCCATCTGCAGGGTGTGTGGCAGGCAGGGTCACATTGCATCTGTCTGTTTGGGTCGCCAGAAGGTTCAACCTCAGGATGAATTGCTTCAGAAAGGTACCAGGGTCCCCAGCCAAAACAGGGTGGGTTTCTGCACATCGCGCAGGAGCATTCTAAGAACAGGGACATACAACCCCCTTAAGAAGAAACTTTCCCTTAATGTAAGGTTGCAAGGGGTTCCCTTACTGATGGAGTTGGACACTAGGTCCGCTCTTTCCATTATTTCAATTAATACCTTTAAAAGATTTGCAGCAGTAATGGCCTTCGAGTTAAACTCAGGCCATCAAATCTAATATTCACTGACTTTCAAAATTCTATGCTGTGCATTAAGGGGGAGGCCACCCTTAGGGTATAGTATAAGGATTTTGAAGGTTCCCTAGATGTGGTGGTTGTTGGGGGTGATTGTACGAGTCTTATTGGACTCGATTGGTTTGAGGCTCTGGGAATTCAAGTAACTGAGCTGCACAGTTTGCAAATGCTGGGCCTTGCAGAGGTTTACAAGGAGTTTGCAGATGTGTTTAGTTCAGAACTAGGATCCTACAAGGGGCCTCCCATTTCGCTACGGTTAGACCCAACCATCACGCCCATCAGGGTTAAGCCTAGGAGGGTCCCTTTTGCCCTCAAAGGTAAGATAGATGCTGAACTGGACAAATTGCTCCAGCAGGGCATTTTAGAACCTTTGAATTCTAGTCCATCGGAAACACCCATAGTAACACCTCTAAAGGCTAATGGCGAAATATGTATATGTGCAGACTAAAAGTGTGCATTGAATAAGGCATTGCAACAGCATGGTTATCCAGTCCCTGTTGTAAGCCACATCCTGGCCTTCATCAAGGGGAGGGGGCATTTTTGCGAAACTTGACCTGGCACAGGCCTATCAACAGCTACTTGTTGATGAGGCAGCTGCAGAGGCCCAGACTATTGTAACTCACAGGGGGGCATTCAAGGTCAAGAAACTGCAATTTGGAGTCAATGTAGCCCCTGACATATTCCAAAGTGTTATGGAGAGCACACTTTGAGGTATTCCTGGGGTCTGTCCCTACTTTGATGATGTCCTCATTGCTGGGGAGTCATCTCAAAATTTAGCAGGAAGATTAAGGGCTGTCTTGCTTTGTTTTCGAAAAGCAGGCCTTAAGCTAAGGCAGGATAAATGCAAGGTAGGAGTCACTTCCACTGACTTTTTAGGTTTCAGGATTGATGCCCAAGGCATTCACCCTGCTGAAGCTAAACTACAAGCTATTCAACAGGCCCCAAGCCCCAAGTCCAAGAGTGAGCTGCAAGCCTTCTTGGGGCTCTTAAATTTTTACCATGCATTTCTCCCACACAAAGCTGCAGTGGCAGAGCCATTACATAGGCTCTTAGACAAGCAAGCTCCTTGGCAGTGGATTAAAGTCCATGACAAGAGCTTCAATGAGGCTAAGCCCTTGCTCACTTCTAATGCTGTTTTAGCGCATTTCAATGAGCAACTGCCTGTTTGCATCGCATGTGATGCATCTCCTTATGGGGTGGGAGCAGTTCTTAGCCATCCGAAGGCTGATGGGACTCAAGTCCCTGTTATTATTATTCAAGGACTCTGTCATCTGCAGAGAGGAATTACGCCCAGACTGACAGAGAAGCCTTGGCCATAGTGGCTGGCATAAAGAAATTTCATGATTTCTTATATGGCTGCCACTTCACGGTCTATACAGACCATAAGACTCTGTTGGGTTTGTTTACTATTAAGAAACAGACACCACATATCATTTCTCCTCGTATGCTGAGATGGTCCATTTTCCTGTCAGCATATGACTACACTCTAGTTCACAAACCTGGAAAAGAAATGGGCCATGCAGATGGCCTAAGCAGTTTGCCTTTAACTCAGGTAGAAGCAGACCCTGCACCTGCCATAAATATTCTTTCCATTCAGGAGTTGCCTGAATCTCCCCTCAATGCTAGGGATGTGGCTGCTGAAACTGCCACTGATCACGCGTGCTGACATGGGTGTTGTCAGGATGGCCTGACTCGTGTCCAGATGCGACATTTCAAAGTTTTTGGCAAAGGAGACATGCACTGTCTACCTTTAATGGGTGCCTTTTATGGGGTAGCAGGATAGTCATCACAGCCTCATTGAGGTCTAGAATCTTGATCTCTCTGCATGAGGGATAGTCAGGATGAAAGCGCTTGCGCACAGCCATCTTTGGTGGCCTGGGCTCAATAAAGCCATCAAGGCCCAGATGCATGGGTGCCAAGCGTGCCAACAGTTCGGTCTGAAATGCCGCAGGCCCCAGTACATAGGTGGGAGGAAACTCAAACCCCGTGGTCCAAGGTGCATATAGATTATGCTGGGCCCTTTCAGGGGCAATTCTTCCTGGTTGTTGTTGATAGCCATTCTAAGTGGCTAGAGGTTGTTTCTGTTTCCTCCACTACTACTGCCAGGACTATCCAGGTGTTGAGAGGAATTTTTGCATCACACAGTCTTCCAGATGTACTGGTTTCTAATAATGGCCCTCAATTTATGTCTTCTGAGTTCCAGGCTTTTCTTCAGGCCAACCTGATCCGGCATGCACCATTGGCTCCCTTCCATCCATCCTCCAATGGACTGGCAGAGAGAATGGTGCGCACCACCAAAGATGCCCTCAAGAAACTGACTTATGGTAACTGGCATTACAAGTTAGCTGACTTTCTTCTTGCACACCGCACCAAACCTTGCACGACCACAGGGAAGAGCCCAGCTGAACTCCACTGGGGTTGCAGACTCATTACTAAATTGGACAGGTTTCACCCAGACCGGGTGGCTTCACAGGTGTCACATCCGCGGGCACTAAGGAGACTACAGTTGGGTGATCCGGTCTGGGCTAGGAACTACACTCCTGTCATCTGTGGGTTCCTGCTGTCATCTGTAAGATCTCTGGACCTCTATCATACGAAGTTACCTTGGGCAATGGCCGCATCCTGCAGCGTCACATTGATCAATTGCGTTGGCAGTTGTCCCCTGTAGATTCCGCCACTGTCTCCGCTCTTGGGGGGGAGGGGGCCCCGGAATTGTCGCACTTCAGGTCAACCTCCTGAGACATAATCTCACACTTCAGGTCAACCTTATGAGACACAATCTCACTGTTCCTGGGATATACTGTAGGTCGCTAGGGAATTCCCAGGGGTGGTGCAAGGACATCCTCAGAGTTCAGCTATTGCGCCGAACAGGGAGTCATGCGTATCCGCAAGAGCTCCAAACAGGAATTCACTTGAGGCGGGGTTTGCCATTGAGGTGGCTCCTGACTCTGGCACCTCAGCCACAGGGGACTGGGAGTATTGGGGCACACCTGCAACGCAGGTCACGTCCGAGACTGGTTGTGGGCTCGAGGGACTAAGTTCCCTGAAGCCATCCAGAGTAGTTGGGGAATCCTCAGCCAATTCAGAGAGTTGGGGAATTTCAGCTGCTCTCATGGACCCTGGGGAGAGCTCTGGCAATTCTGCCAGCACGCCTCACCAGGGGTCACCTGCAAAATTTGTGCATAAATGTCCTGGTCTAGCGAGCCCAACAGACGGGCCGGTAGGCCAGGTGCCTTTAAGAACAAGTCCTGGTCTGCCTAGCTGGGCAGGTGAGCTGACAGGCTAGTCACCCTCCCTAACCTTGCATAGGTCACAACAGGCTAAGACCCCTCCTAAGCATCTAGGCAAGTATGTGAGGTTCTTGTCAGTACAAGGGACTTTACAGGTCTAGGTTGAGGAGATGGGACCTTTGTGGGGTAGAAGATAGACACACGAATTCCACATTAGAGAGTGGGTTGGTTGGCTAACTCTGTTAGTAGGAGAAGGGTGTCTGCATGTGAGCAGACTATTATTTTATTTTGATTTATTTTATTATGATTGTAAGGAATTGGAATCATGTGTGTTCTATCTAGGGGGGAAGGGTGTTGTGTCCTGGGCCTGATGAGGAAACTCAACAGGCCCAGAATTGTTGCAAATGGTCCTGGGCATTCTAAAAGCTGCCCGGGACCAGACAGAGCGGCGCCAGCCTTGTGTGCATGCGCAAGGTGTGGAGAAAGAAGAACTCTTATTGGTTCACTCTGTCCGGGGTTCAAGCCTTATATAAAGGCCTGCGTGCTTTTTGCAGTTTGCTTGGAGTTGGAGTAGGAGAATAAAGCATTGTTAGTTGTAACCATGAGTCTTCATCATTCACCCGTGAACGGAGAGGGGGAGAGAGAGAGAGAGAGAGAGAGAGAGAGAGAGAGAGAGAGAGAGAGAGAGAGAGAGAGAGAGAGAGAGAGAGAGAGAGAGAGAGAGGTCTCTGTGGAAGTAGAAGCACCTAACCATTTAAAGAAACAAATTGTTCCCATGAGAGTCTTCTTCAAGAAGTAGTGAGAATTACATCATCTTTTCAGCCTGAGGGAAGATGATGGTGGAATAAGGGAGGGTGGAGAACTTCATAAAACAGTAAAAGAAATCATGAAATAAAGGCTTCTAAAGCTATCTCACAAGAACTGAGAAAGAAGATTCATACTCTCTGCACAGGTATGATGGGATCACGATCCATGCCACAATTAGCCAAAAGGAGTAATAGTTTCAGAGGGACTTTCTGTTTACATAGTAATGTATTTTACTTCAGTGCATTCAAAATCAAGATAAGTCAGTTCTTGCTGCATTGGGGTGGGGTGGGGGGGAGTGGAAAGAATCCTTTATCTATTCTGATTAAGGGATTCCTAGACTTCTAACCTACCTGTATGTCCTATCCTGATGGCACCATAGAAAGGGACTGAAGAATTCAGACGGTTCACCAGAAAAGAGAGAAAAATAATAAAGTTCCTAAACTACAGGGTGAGTTGAAGAAGGTGGATTGTTTTAGTCCAAAATTTTAGAAGAAATAAAGTGACCCATAGGATGAAAGTATATGTGACTTCTCCCCCATTCAGTTGCATGCATATTAATATCTCAATACATCCTTGTTTGAGAAAAATTCATTGCACCAGCCTTGTGAATCCTTGGATGAATAATATTGAGACACATTTAACAGAATAACAGCATTGGAAGGGACCTTGGAGGTCTTCTAGTCCAACCCCCTGTACAAGCAGGAAACCCTGTACCATTTTAGAAAAATGGTTGCCCAATCTCTTCTTAAAAACCTCTAGTGTTGGAGCACTACAACTTCTGAAGGCAAGTCACTCCAGTGATTAATTGCTCCAACTGTCAGGAAATTTCTTCTTGATGCTAGGTTGGTTCTCTCCTTGATTAATTTTCATCCATTGCTTTTTGTCCTACCTTCAGGTGCTTTGGAGAATAGGTTGACCCCCTCTTCTTTGTAGAAGCTCCTTAAGGCTTGTTATTAGACAGAGACAATGTATGTCAACCTAATTGATCATCTACATTAGGAGTTAGATCAGGAAAGTGCAACTACACAATCAATTTTTTATTACGGTCACAGACCAGCATTACAAAAAAAAAAAAAAAAAGATTTCTAGATCTTTAGTATGTTGTTTAAGTGCACGAAGTGCACACTCATACCTCATCATTAGAAGCACTTCCCTGATGAGACCAAGATACTGGAGTTTTTGTGAGATGAACCATACTGATTCAAAATTGTCTTTTATAAGTAGGAAACTCAAACCTGAAGGGAAAAAGAGTAGTTATAACCAATTTGCAAGAATGTAAATCCATGCAATCTGTTTCGATTTTGGCTAGTCCTGCCTCCCTCCTTAATACTATCTTTGGGACTTAATGGGCTACCTGAAATAAAACTCTTAGGAATTTGGATTGCACCGTTTCCAGAGGAGTAAAAGTAAATGAGGAGTAAGGTCCCAGCACTGAAGAGTAGTTATACATGAACCTTAGCTGAATACAACTCCAGCGCTGCTGGAATATACTGGAAAAATAAAACGATTGAACTGCTGGTTTGGGGGGATTTTGGATAACATAGTTTTGATATGCACTGTATTTAGTGGAGCTGTTGAAAACCATGCCCAAATATTTAAAGTATTTGACTTGTTCAATGTTCTGGCCAATTATCTTCCAGATCACGATCTTAGTATTACTATAGATTTCAAAGACCTTTTCAGAGCAGTAACTAGCCAGGGTGTTCAAACATCATCTCAGTCCAATTTGGGTTTGGGATAAAAGTACTATATCATCAGCATAAAATAGGGATGCAATATGTCTATTAGCTAATTTTGGGGGTTTAATTGGCCCACTAGTGGATTTACATGTAGATTAAAAAGCAGAGGAACTAGAATAAATCCTTGCTTTATTCCTCTATAGATTAGAATCTCCTTGGTGTAGTGGTCTTGCATGCTGCATCAGACTTTGATTCTAGTGTTCTTATAAAGATTGTGAATAAGCAATAATAGGCATCTGTCAATGGTTATATGCAGAAGATTAGACTAGAGCCTTTCTCTGGGAACTAGATTAAATGGAGATCTGAAATCAATAAATGCAGTATAAAATAGTGACCCTGGTTTGGACATGTATATTCTGGTCAGATGTTGAAGAATAAGGGTGTGTTGATTAATAGAGTATCTAGACTGAAGTCCGCTTTCTCATCTGCCAGTGCATGCTCTAGGTCAATCCAATCAACTAATTTGTTGTATAAATGTCTAGCATAGAGCTTTCTTATTATACTTAAGAGGCTAATAGATCATTAATTAGTGGGCAGGTCTCGAATGCTCTTTTTGTAAATAGCACAATAAGGGCTAGGCCCCAATCCTCTAGAATTTGCACAATGGAATCATTATAAATAAAGAGGCAAGAATAGGGGTCATCATTCCAGATTATTTTGTAGCATTTCAGGCATGACAATGGATGTCAACTGAACTGATTGTCTACATCAGAAGCTGGATAAGGAAAATACAATTACACATTAATCTTCAGTTTTAGGGTTTAATCATGTCATCCTTGCCCAACAATTAGTATTTAACAATTCCATGAAAGAACGCTTGTCTACAGTTGTCAATGGTACCCAACATTTTTCTTCAAAATAATGGAAATTGCCCAGTAGCAGAATCAGAAGTTGATTTCTGTGATAGATGAGCAATCCTTCAGAAATACAGCCTTAGGAAGGTGTTTTTTATTTGATTGGGGGATTCAGTTTTGGCATTCAGTGTATACCCATATTTAGCCTTAAATCTGAATATACATCTTTGTATGATAATCATGACAGTTCTCAAAGAATGAATGCTGGAACTTCGATTGCATTAGTTTTAGGGACAGTTGGGGAGTGGGCACTATGCTAATATCCTATCTATAAGTATCAATAGATGCAGTATTTTATACATACAAGTCAGCTCAACAGAAAATTTGTGAATCTGCCAAGGTTGGTGGTGCAGCGAATGCATCTTAGCACTTAGACTTATATACCACTTCATAGTGCTTTAGAGCCCCCTCTAAGTGGTTTACAGAGTCAGCATGTTGCCCCCAACAATCTGGCACCTCATTTTACCCACCTTGGAAGGAGAGAAGGCTGTCTCAACCTTGAATCTGTCAGGATCGAACTCCTGGCAGCGAACAGAGTCAGCTTGTAATACTGCAATCTAACCACTGTTCTACCAAAACTCTTGATTGATAAAAGAACATTGTTTGATGGAGTCCTTTTTCCCCCAAAAAACTTCTCTAGCTTGGGCAGTTATTATAATCTTTCATTCAGATTTCTGCTATCACTTCTTTTCATATTGATCATTTGTTTCTGCATTTAGTTGAAGGCTGGGAAGCTTGAGGTGATATATGTATAATCTCTCCCTTAAAAGGAAGTGAAATTGCTATCCTAGTGTCAATGAGGTAATTTAAAATTTGTTCCATTCCTGTTGTGTTCTCCACACAGAAAGGGAAGAGAGCATATACAGTCCAATGCTTTAGAATAGCTCCAAGACAGTGGGGGGAAATAGGTTCAAACAGCATCTTGACAAAAGGAGAACGGAGTCAAATTTCTTGTGGGATGAGGAGAGGAAGGGTATGATGTGATTTTTTATGCCAATAGGTACAATGGCTCTTCATCACAATACCACCAGGGTGACCGAGTTTATCCTCCTGGGCTTCACTGCTCAACGAAACCTTCAGCTCCTCCTCTTCAGCTTCTTCCTGCCCATCTACCTCCTCAGTGTGGCAGGGAATCTGGCTCTAGCCATTCTTATCCGAGCTGAGCCTGCCTTCCACACACCCATGTACTACTTCCTAAGCCACCTGGCCCTGATGGACCTGTGCTCCAGCTGCACTGTAGCCCCCAAAATGCTCCTGGGGCTCTTGAAAGGTTATGACACCATTCCCATCCCAGCCTGTGCCCTTCAGATGTTCATCTTTGCAGCTATCTCAGATGCCGAATGTTGTCTCTTGGCAGCCATGGCCTATGATCGGTATGTGGCCATCTGCCGCCCATTGCACTATGCAACTGCCATGCCACAGCATCTCTGTCATCTCCTTGTAATTGCTTCCTATGCAGCAGGGATGACCTCTGGAGCGATCCATACCAGCATGGCATTCCGCCTGCCCTTCTGCGGTGCAAATACTTTGGACCATTTCTTCTGTGATATCCCTCTAGTTCTGGCTTTGGCTTGTGCAGACACACAAATTAACCAGCTCTTACTTTTAGTAGTGTGTGGAATTATCCAGAGCATCACCCTGTTGATCATTACAGCTTCCTATGGAATTATCCTCTGGACTGTAGGACGAACAGGATTACTTCGAGCTATGTCCACCTGCGGATCTCACCTTACAGTTGTGGGGGTGCTTTATGGAACCCTTCTCTTCATGTACCTACGGCCTGATGACACTTATGCCCCACAAACAGACAAGATGACTTCTGTCTTCTACACAGTAGCCATACCTACTCTCAACCCTGCCATATACAGTCTTCGTAACACTGAGGTCAAGCAGGCAGTCAAGAAGAGGTTCAGCAAGATATGTCATCAAACATAAAAGCAGCACAAGTATGAAGGAGGGAAAGAAGCATTCCCAACAGATTAGAATATCCTTCCTAGCCTAGTGTATTCTGTGGATTCCATAGTTGCAAATTGTAGATCTGAAGATTATAGGAAATGGAATATAACACATCTAGAGGCTGAGTTAGCTAATTATCAAATGTATCTAAGAGGAAATTCTGTTGAAACAGCAAGACCTGCTTCTGGATTTTTGTGGAAAAAGTGGAGAACTGAAGATGGCTCTGCTAAAAGCAGAGCTAATGACAACAGAAGAAAGATGAGTAGACCATCTCTTCATAACTTTTCTCCAGAGAAAGAGAGGACTTGAGATTGCACAACAGCAGTCTCTGACAGCTTTAGAACTGTAGAAGATAAAAGAAACCCATCTTTTTGCTCAAACTATGGTTGATGGAGGGGAGATTAATGACTGCCACTGTTGGTGTGGTTATTCTCAAACTTCGAGGAGGAGGAGGAGGAGGAGGAGGAGGAGGAGGAGGAGGAGGAGGAGAGGAAGAAGAAGAGGAAGAAGAAGAGGAAGAAGAAGAGGAGGAAGAGGAAGAGGAAGAGGAAGAGGAAGAGGAAGAAGAAGAAGAAGAAGAAGAAGAAGAAGAAGAAGAAGAAGAAGAAGAAGAAGAAGAAGAAGAAGAAGAAGAAGAAGAAGAAAGATGCAGAGAGTTTCATCTGACAAATAGTATTGGTATAGTAAAAGAAAGTTCAGAACAGAATTCTAATTTCTTGTTATGTTTTCCACTCTATTTTTTTTTTACATACATAATTTAAATTTATTTATATTTACATTTAAGCTTCTAAGCACCTAAAAATAAGCATGGAACCATTTTTAAATGAAAACAATAGCCTTCAGAAACTCCATAAGAGCCACATACAAAATCAAAAATTGTTCTGTACAGAATACAAGTTTGACTAATGCGCAACCTATAAATGTCAGAAATTATTTTTTTAAAGTTTTATTATTTTTTAACAGAGTTCAATAATAATTATTCAACAAAAATGTATTGTCTGAGTATCTTATTCACTAATACAAATTAAATTCCTAATCCCTAAATCTTTTCTCTAACCATTGATAAAATAGGTCCCAAGTTTGAAAATATTCTGTTTCTTCTTTTTCTTTCAATCTTAAAGAAAATCTGTCCATTTCTGCATAGTCCAATTTTTTTTTATTTCTTCTTCTGGCGGTATTTCTTCGTTCTTCCAATATTGTGCAAATATAATTCTTGCTGCTGCTATCACATGTAGAATCAAATATGTACTTTGCTTATCAAGTTTTTTTGGTGTTATACTTAGTAAAAAAAATTCAGGTTTATAGTCTATGTGTTTCTCTAACATTTTTTCTAACCAAGTGTGGATTATTGTCCAACATCTCCTTGCTTTAACACATGTCCACCACATATGATAATAAATAACTGGTTTGTGTTTGCATTTCCAACATTTCTCTGACATGTTTTTAAACATTTTTGCTAATCTTGTTGGTGGCAAATGCCATCTATAGAACATTTTATATAAGTTTTCTTTATATGAAGCTGACATTGTCAATTTATAGTTTCTTTCCCACAAACTTTGCCACTTTTCTAAGTCTATATTATATTCAAAATTCTTTGCCCATACTATCATTGTCTCTTTTACTTGTTCATCTTCCATTTTGAAATTTAATAAGAAATTGTACATTTTTTTGATTAACTTTTCATCAGAAGTTAATGTCTGATCAAATATAGTCTATTCTTTGTAAAATCCATATTATTTAATATCTTTATCATATCCGACTTGCATTTGTAAATGTGACCACCATGTTAAATCGATGCCCTGATTTTCCTTCTCTTGCCTGGATTTTAAGTTCCCTTCAGAATTTAGAATATCTTTGTATGTCCATATTTTATCAAGACTGATTGGATGTATGAATGCTTCCATTGTTGAAAGCTATCCTGGAATTTTCAAATAAATTTTACATTTTATTTTTTCCCAAGTTAATAATAATGCATTTCTAATGTAGTGGTTTTGGAAGTATTTGTGTATTTTATTTTTTCCTTACCATAGAAAAGCATGCCAACCAAGTTGCAGGTCATGTCCTTCCAGATACAGCAATCTTTTATTTTTAAGAGTTATCCATTCTTTTATCCATGTTAACACTGATATTTGATAATATAAAATCCAATTCGGCAAGCCAAAGCCTCCATTTCCCTTGGCTTCTTGTAATATTTTCAATTGAATTCTAACTTTCTTTCCTTGCCAGATATATTTTTGAATTAAAGAGTTTAAATCTTCAAATAATTTTTTCTTCAGTTTTATAGGTATCATTTGAAATAAAAATAATATTTTTGGTAATATATTCATTTTCACCGTAGCAATTCTTCCTAGCATCAACAGCTGAAGATTCTTCCATTTTTCCAAATCAAGCTTTATTTGATTTAACAATTTAATGTAATTATCTTCTTTTATTGTTGAACATCTTGCTGTCAAATATATTCCCAAATATATGACCTTTTTGACTATTTGCAATTCTATTTTTTCTAATAATTGCTTTTTTTGTTTATCCGTAAAAATTTTAACTATCACTTTAGTTTTTTCTCTATTTATCTTTAATCCTGCTATCTCTCCAAATTGTTCTATCTTTTCCAACAGTTTAGGAATCGTCTCTAAAGATTCCTCTAAACTGAATACCAAATCATGTGCAAATGCTTGCAGTTTGTAGGTTTCATCTTTTATTTTCAATCCTTTAATTACTGGATCTTGCCTAATGTTTCTATTTAAAACTTCCAAAGTTAAGATAAATAGCAATGGGGATAATGGACACCCTTGTCTTGTGTCTTTTCATATATCAAAATTCTCTGTGTAATCCCCATTTACAATTACTTTTGCTGATTGTTTCTGACATATTATCTGAATTGTATTTATAAAGTTTTGACCAAAGTCCATTGTTTTTAGTTGTTGAATCATAAATTGCCAAGAAACATTATCAAATGCCTTTTGGGCATCTAAAAATACTAGTGCCAGTTGTTTCCCTGGATGAAGTTCATAATATTCCAATATATCTAGTATTACCCTCAAATTACTGTATATTGTCTCTTTGGCAAAAATCCATTTTGATCTGGGTGTATAAATTCAGTCAAAATTCTTTTCAGCCTCTCAGCTATTATTGAAGTGAAGATTTAATAGTCCACATTCAGTAGTGATATCTGTCTATAGTTTTTGATCTGGGTCAGATCTCTTTTGGTATCAAAGTAACATTACCTTCTGTCCAGGTATTTGGGAGTTTTTCCTCCAATAAAAATTCATTACATACATTTTTCAATTGTTTATCAATTTTTTTCTCCTTCTGTTTTTTAAGTTTATAAGGTAACCATCTTCCTGGTTTGTTTGCATTTTCAAAGAAGTTTTGCTTTGCCCTTTTAATTTGTTGTGCCAATTTTTCTAATTCTATTAAATTTAATTTATATTTTATTATTTCCATTTGTTTTTTCAATATTTTCTTTTGTGGGTTTATTTGTAGTTCAAGTTCTAATTTTTTTAATTCTTCTCTTAACAACTGACATTGTTGTCTCTTTTCTTTATTTTTTTTGCCATGTATGTTATCGCTACGCCTCGAAAATATGCTTTGACTGTATCCCATACATTTTGTAATGTTGTATCTTTTTATTTTCTTTGAAGAAAAATTCCATTTCTTTTGTTGCTAAGTCTATAAATTCTTTCTCTTTTAATATAGATTGATTCAAACTCCATCTTAATTTTTTCTGCATTCCTTTCCACACCATTTTTAAGGGGTTATGATCTGCCCAAGTACCTAATTCTATTTCAGTTTCCTGCATATTAACCCTTAATTCAGGCATCATCCAAATCATATAAATTCTGGAGCAAGATTTATGACTATTAGAATAAAACGTGTATTGTGATTTCCCTGGGTTCGTTTCTCTCCAGATATTTTGTATACCAATTTCCGCTATCATATTGAAAAAAGTCTTAGGTAATCTTTTTCTTCCTTGTTTCCCTGATTTACTGCTTTTATAGTCTAATGTCCCGTCTACTATTGCATTGAAATCCCCAATTAAGCATATATTTTGATATTCCATTTCTACTATTTTTCTGTGAAGGTTTTGATAAAATTCTTCTTGTTTATTATTTGGTGCATATGTTGTTTTCAAAAGTATCTGTTTTGATTTAAAAATATTTCTACTATTAATATTCTTCCTTCTTCATCTGCATAAATCATTTTGGAATCTATTGTCTCTTTGACATATATAACTACTCCTCTTTTTTGTTGTTGAGCTGATGTATAATAGAGTTTACTAAGTTTTGGATTTTCCAAAAAATTATGATGATGTTTTTTTTGTGTATGTGTCTCTTGCAAACAAATTATATTAATGTTTAATTTCTGTAGTTGTTTGAAAATTCTTTTCCTTTTTGATGGGGAATTCAATCCATTTATATGCACTGAAAAAAATTCATTTTCCTTCTTTGTTTTGGTTTATTTATATTAAGGTCTTGTTGATCTTGTAATCCTCTACTCTTTTACTATTCCCTCATCTTCTTGATTCATCTTCTCTTTTTTCTCTTCCACCTGTGTAATTGTTTATTGTTTGTTCTGTCTGTTTCTGGCTTTTTCAATCCTCTTGTTGATATTGCGTTCTTTCTCCCAGAAATGCACTATATCTTTCATCAAAATCCTCTACCTTCGCACTGAGTCCAAACGATATCTTGTGTTATTCCAATTGATTAAAATCCCTTCTGGCATCACCCATTTAAAATTTACTCCTTTTGCAATCAGCTTTGTAGTCAAGTAATGATATTGTCTTCAAGTACCCCTTATTCTCTTTGGAATCTGTTTAAGCACTACTATTTCTTTATCTTTATATTGTAATGGATCATCTCTAACTCTTCTTAATATCTCATCCTTCATTGTTTTCTTCATAAATCTTACATTGACTTCTTTGAGCAATTTGTGTTTCCTTGCATAGCTTGAATTCATTCTAAATATTTCATCCACTTCTTGCTGCATCTCCGGTCTTTCCATTTCTAGGCCTTTGCTAATAAATTAATAATCACTTCTGCTATATTTTCCTCTTTATCTTCGGGTATGTTCTGGAATCTCAAATAGTGTACCACCTTCTCCATTTCCAAAACAGCGACCGCTTCTTCTAGGTTTTGATCTGCTTGTTCTAATCTTTCATTCTCTGTCATTAGTGCTTCAATTTTTTCTCCAGTATCTTCTGATTGATCTTCCACCTTCTGAATTCTTTGTTCATTTTTAAGGATCATTTGTTGGTGAACCTCAAATTGTATCTTTATGTCAAGCATTTGTTCATTTAGCTTATCAAGGTTGCTTTTTGTTTCTTGATGATTCTTCTGCATCATTTCTTGCATTAATTGTAAGGTCTCATGCATCTCTTTTTGGAGGTTGTTTGTCTTCTCTCATTGTAACATTGCTTCAATAGATCCCTACTTGCTGGACTGGTTG